TTTTTTTTTTTTTCCTCTTCATTTGCACAGAAAACTTTTAAAGATGAAGAACTCATTCCCCTTCAGTTAGTTCTGAAAAAACTAGACTTGATCAGTGAACTTACAGAACGGTAAGCAGTGGCCCATAATATATAGAAGGCAGCATGGTATCACTGGGGGAGCTGGATCTTCACTGAGCCAATTGCAAAATCTGGTAGCTGCATGCTGGATGTGATTTTTGCTTGTATTGTAGAACAGGGATGGATAGAAAGAATTCCAGAGCTAAGCCTGAAGCTTGCTGGTCTTTGGGCAAGTCATATTTTACCTAGCTGTTGCCAATTAGGTAATCCACTTCTCTGATTGTTTAGAAATTCTGTCACTTTCTTGGATGACTGGGCTTTATGTTATGCTATAGTCTTCCTCTTAACCCAAATATTAGGAGTTAATACCAGTTTGTTTGGGAGATCAGGCTGTCAGTTCACATGTGGCACCATGTTTTGCTGCTGCTGAATTTTCAGTGGACACTCAAGTTACATAATGTTGTCCATCTGAAAGCCAGGTGACTATCTAGGTTCCATGCATACTTTATGGAGAGACAAACACCTTCAGTGGATGACTCATGGGATAAATTCCTGGAATAAGTATACACAGGTTATATGAGGAGAGGCCTGTTTCTCCTTTTTTTTTTTTTTTTACTTACAGGGGAAACTTATAATGTGTGTTTGATCTCTAGGCTACTAATTACATGCCGTAACAAAATAGTTATTGTGGATTTTGCTGTAATGTAAGGCCTAATTCTTTCAGAGACTGAGTAAACCTTTTTTCTAAAGCAGGTACTTTTTTTTTTTTTATAAATAGCCTAGTGGAAAGCAAGAAATAAAAAGTTCTTTTTTAAAGAACTTTCTTTTGAAGGACAATGCATCTGGATTGTTAAAGTAACCATGTAAAACTTAAGTTTGAAAAGCAGTTATCTTTAGTTTAAACGCACTAAAATAAATATTGTGTTAGAAGAATGGCTTCTTCCAATTCTATGTCTAATAAGTAATCTTATATTCTAGAGTTCGAGCACAATGTGACTGTTGTTTCTTATACTGGCATCGAGCAGTCTTTCCAATCTATTTAGATGATGTGTATGAAAATGCAGTTGATTCTGCTAGACTGCATGTAAGTAATAATGTTAGCAACTTAGTTTAACAGGCCACTGTAGTGGGAGGGATTCAGAGGAGAGGATAAAGCTTACACTAAAACTCAAGGAAAAAACTAAAAAAAAAAGTGAAACCCGGGCAAGGGTTACTACTAAGGCAGAAATTCCTGGTCCATCTGGAGGATATAAAAGCAATCTTTGTTCTAAATCTAATTCAAGTATATCTATTAGATTGCTCTAAAAGTCTCAGGTTCCTGTTGTTAACTCTGGGTCTCTGTGTGTCTGTCTGTCTTTGTTCCTCTCTTCATGCTAATTTGAAGTGAACACTTTTTTGCTAGACTTGAACATCAAAAACCTTTGTTCCACGTTGTGGTTAAAAATTTCTAAAGCACGTATCACTATGTTCAGTGATGCCGTGTGGGTTAGTTGTCCTGTAGCTTTTTAGGCCCCCCCAATCTCTCCTCCCTTCTTTGAAGTATCAAGCATTTGCTGCAGATGTCAATCATGCTTTTTCATGCTAATCCTGATAAAAATCAATCATCTCTTCCAGTATTGTGCATGCTATGGTCAATTACAGTACTAAAATGAACAAAGTGCAAATAATTTGAGATTAAATAGCTAATAATTATGACCTTCCCGTAAACAGATCAGTAACAACTAAATGCTTCAGATGAACACATTAAGGACTGGAAACTTCAGTAGGGTTTACAAGGCCAATTTTTAATAAAAATTGGAAGACTAGCAATTTTGGTTTGTTTGTTAGCTTTGAACGCTATTAGAGATGATGTTGACATGTCTGTCAATCTGTTGGTTAAGCATAATAGTTTCTTTTTTCAGTATATGTTTAGTGCACTACGGGACTGTGTACCTGCTATGATGCATGCAAGACACTTGGAATCTTACGAGGTGCTTCTGGAATGCTATGACAAAGAAATCATGGAAGTGCTCAATGAGGTAATTTGTTGTGAATGTCACTGATGATTTAGGTTATTTAAGACCTGTTGCTAATGGTATCTGCGTTGGCTGGCAACATGAAAATACTGCACTCTAAATTACATAAGTTGGCAGAACCTCAGTTACAGGTTTGACTATGCAGACAAAGGAGTGCTTTTTGTCAGATTAGCTTCTGCTTGTATGAATGCTTAAAATAAGTACTACTGTTCTTAGTAGGTATGCATGGCTTTTAGTAATGAAGGATCTGTAAATGTAGGTGGCCTCTTTAGTGAATTATTATCTAGAATTACATAGGATGTTTGACAGAAAATGTGCATTCAGATTTCCCAAGTACTAGTTTTTAAAC